GCGGCCCGGCCGCTCCCGGCGCAAGAGGCGGCTGCGACTCCGATTACAAACAGCCGCGGCAATGCCCCGTTGTCCCCCCGGGACGGAACCCGGATTCTCCAGTCCTGCTGGACTACCCGGGACAGTGCGAAGCCGGGGTCGGGCCGGTATCTCCCCGCGGGGCCCGGCTTGATTTCTCTCTCTCTCTCTCTCTCCCCCCTCTCTCCCAGTCAGTCGGATGAACGGTCTCTGCAGGCCCGCTCAGCCGGCCCAGGTTTTTCCCGCGGGGGGGTGAGTATCTTGCTCGCTCCCGGTTGTGTCTGGTGGAGGAGACCAGGTCTGGCTGTCCCCGGGTGTCCCTGTCCCCTGTGAGACAATCCTCCCCCTGTTTTGGGGTGATTTGTCTTAAGGCCTGGTTAAGCTGGCTCAGGTGCGGGCTGTTCGTGCCAGGCGCCTGGGTCCCCGGTGAGAAGGGGCCCGGGGGGAGCACTGCGGGGTGCAGCCCAGCCCCTGCCACCTCCTGAAACCTTGGTAGGACCCCTGTCCACTGGGGTTGTGGCTCGGTTGTGGTTCCTGTGGCACCCCCATACCAAGGTGCAGCCCTGGGGGAATTGGGGTGCCCCATTTCCCAGTGTTGGTGGGACGTGCCTGGCAGTGCCCGCAGCGGGGCTGGGGGCCGGCAGTGCTGACGCGTCCAGGCGTCAGATTACAGGAGGCACCAGGGCTGCTCCCTTGGGTGTCTGACCGGCAACGGGCTTGTCGGGTGCCATGGGGTGCAGGGGACCCCCTGTACCGTGCGGGGTACCGCCTCTCTTTCCTGCCCCGTCGGCCTTTGCACTGGGGCGGGGAGAGCGGCACTGGCTGCCAAGTCCTTCCTGGGACAGCCAGGAGGGTGTCCCGGCCACCTGGGTGCCGGCGGTGGCGGGGGGCTGTAGATTCTCTTGGCCAGGGCAGCGGATAGGAGCGTTGGTGGCGCGGGGGGACGTGGGAGCTGCTCCCTGCCTTCTCTGGTAGGCGTTTGTGGTGTATGCTGGGGACCCGGTGCCACCAGCAGGAACAGGTTTGGCCGGCCAGGGGAAGCGCTTAGTAGGTCAGCTGGGGTGGAGCTGGGCACGGCTGACGCCGGAGTGCCGCCGGCCCACCCAGCCCCCTGGAGTTAGTGGTGGCCTAGGTGCTGGCAGCAAATCATGGGCACTGGTGCCCCGTTTTGTGCACAGCCCAGACAGTCTTTGTGGGGTCACCTTGGGTGGGTCAGTCCTGCTGGTGGGCATGGTTGGGTTTGGGGCATGATGGGGGGCTCTGCTCTGAAGGGTGTGAGGACTTGCTGAGGCTGGGTGACTTGGCAGTACCTATCCCATTTCCCCAGTGGGGCAGGAGGGGTTGGCTGGGGGTCTGTGCCTTTGTGGGATGCTGTCTGTGGGGCATGGCTGATGCCTGGCTTTACACTGTGGGGCTGGAGATTTGCAGATTTCAGGGCTGATGTGGATAGGGGACAGATGCCCGGGGTGCTGCCATCTCCAGCTTATGCCCACTATCCCTGTTCCCACAGATAGCGAGGGGATCCTTATGCACAACCCCATGAAATGAACAAAGCTCCACAGCCCACAGGAGGAGCCCCGACTGCCCCGCACCCTGCCCCTTCTCCTGGACTGCCGCAGGTAACCATCCCCTGCTGGGGAACCCAGCTTTGCCTCCCCAGTTGGTGCCAGGGGCAGCAGTACCATCTTTTTCCCTCCCTGCCTTCTTCCAGCCAACGTTCCCACCTGGTCAGACGGCACCTGTGGTTTTTAACCCGGCACCGACCTCACAAATGAATACGCCTTCTCAGCCGCGCCAGGTAAGGATTTTGCCCAGAGCTGGAGAGGGTGATCAGGGGTATCCAGCAGCTTTCTGCTTCCTGGCCGAATAGCCCACACCATCATGGAACCCAGGGGTGTTAGGAGCAGTGTGGTGCCCCTCGGGACTGGTGTGTGCCTGTAAAGGGGGAATGAGCCCATGATCTGGACTGCGACTGCCACCTGAGGACCTCCTGGCCCTGGGGTGGGGGTGCAGGCACCTCCAACGAGGATGCCCACGGAGTGACTGCTCTTCTCTCCTTCCTCCCCTGCCCCAAACCTCCCTTTCCTCCTCTCTCAGTTTCCAGCAGGGCCTCGGGCTATTCACCAGCAGGTACTAACCCGCTTCCTCTGCCCTGCATGCTGAACACCCTTCCTCGACACTGCACAGAAACACCCACCTTGGGCATGAAGGGGCTGGGGAGCATGTGGGGGCCCTGGAATCTGGGGACAGGCTGGTCTGGGGAAAATGTGGGATGCCTGCTCGAATTCGGGTAAGTTTCTCTGCAGTGTCTCCCCAGTTTCCTCCTTGCATGAAGCCTGCAGCATGTGGCTGTGCCTGTGCTAACTCTGGCCCGGGCTGTTGCTTCTGCCTGTGCCCTTCCTCATCTTCCTCTTCCTCCCTGCTTTGCTTGGTCTCCCAAGGCCTTGCAGTGGCGTGCAAGGCTCTGGACTTCCGTCAGCCCTCTTGTGTGGAGGAGCTGCTGGGGACAGATCTGGTGACATCCTTGGCTGTGCTGTCTTGGAGCTCATCAGACCCATCCCTGCCCCTTGGGGGGTCCCTACAGGGGACCTCAGTATATTTGGGATGTGGGCAAAGGGCTCCCTGGCCTCTTGTCCCTTTCTCTGCTATCCCTGTCCCAGTGCCAGTAATTCCTGTCTCTCTCTTTCCCCTTTTCCCTCTGTATGCGTGCGCTTGCTAACAGGGAGGATTCAGGTCTCTTCAGGTAACACTTTCTCCTTGCCCTGGGGGTGTGTGCGCGGACCCTTCCTTGCCCACTAGTCGCTGGGCTGGAGCTGCTGCTCCCAGGGCTGCTCTTGCCCAGCAAACAAGCTGGGTCGGGATGAACGGCATTGGCCGGGGTGGGAATAGGGAGCTCCACATGTTGTCCGGCTCCGGCATGGCGGGACTACAGGTCCCAGCATCCCCCGCGAGCGCCGGCAGCCGGTGCAGAGCACGCTGGGACCCGCCGCCGCTGAGCTGCGTGC